GCGACTTCATCTCGCGAGTCGCGACTGTACCAATAACTTGTGATAACACCCTATTTAATAACAAACAACAATAAATACGTAAATTATTTACCTGAGGATCCAGTGCTAGCAAAACGCCCCCCAGCCTGTCGTGGAGGAGCAGGATGAACAGGTCGTGAAGGAGCTGCAGGCTGCACAGGAACCGTAGCCTGTGCAGGAATATCGTCATCGCCCTCATCATGTGAAGATGCCGACTCGTCAGAATCCTCAGCCATCTGGGCTACCGACTCATCAACATAATATCCCTGCTGACCGTCCGATGCTTGTGCTGGTGCAGGGGGTATCGAGCTGCCTGAGTGGCCAGCAAAAACATATCTATGCTGACTGAGCTCGTACAGTGGTGGTGCAGCATATCCCTGTTGACCAACTGGTACTGGTGGTGTACCATATCCCCTCTGACCATCTGGTACAGGTGTCTGCAGTCTCGAACTGCTTGCCTGGCCAGTCTGTACCCTCCGAGCCTCTTGGATAATGAATTCTCGATCCCGACGAGCGGACGCAGTTATACCCCGTTGCTTCGGGTGTCGGTGTCCAGTTTCGTCAATATACTCATCCATCTCGTCGGCGTTCCTATCAGATCGTTCAGGCCTAGCAATACCCTAAATCACCAATTTAAATAAAAATTAGTAAATATATTTTTTTTTAAAATTTTGTAAATATTTTTTATTTAAAATTTAATTTTAAAAGTCAAATTAAATTGATTAATTTATTACTTATAATAACGTCTTAACTTAATATTAATAACCTATTAGTCGATTTGAAATTTAATAAATATTCTAATAACTATTATAATAGTAATTATAATTTATAATATTCACTAATTTTTTTTATTTGTTATAATTAATATTTTAATACTTATTATAATTTTTTCTTTATTGATGTAATATTTTTTCTAATATAGTATTAATTAAAATAATATAATTATAGTAACTTTTTTTTAAACATAATTATAATACTTCTTTATTACTAAAATAATTATACTAATTATATTTTATAATTTTTTATTATAACATTATATTAATTTTTATTTAACATAATTATATTTTTTAATATATATATTTTTTTATTTTATTTTTTTACTAATATATTATTGTTAAAAAACAAAAAAAAAAAATTGTCCGGTCGATCCGTGACCGGCCGGGGGGGCCGGTTCACGTACTGTACGTCCGGCCCCCATATCCGGACAGATGGGGTGCGATCGGCCGGGTCGGGCCGATCGCTAAACCGGGCGACCGGTCGCTGTGACCGATCGCCCGCGGGCCGTACGGGATCGCCGACCGTACGGCCCATGCCGTGTCCGGATGCGCCGACCGGACACGGCCCCAGTTTTTTTTTTAAATTCGAATAAAATGTAAAAAAAAAATACCTTCTTAGAGAAGAATGCTTTGTCGAGGCCGTAGAATTTTTTCGGATTTTTTTGATACTCGAATGGCTCGTTAAAGTTTTGGAAATTTTAGAGAGAAAGAGAGAGTAGAGAGAGGAAAGAGGGAAAGGAGAGAGAGTGTAGAAGGGCAAAAACGTAAAAGGGGGGGACGGTGACTAGTAAAAAGGGGGCAGTAATTAGCGATTCACTATTTATAATACTAGGGCTAGGGTAACTTTCCAAACAAGTAACACCATACACAAGAGAGAGAGAGGCGGACCGGGTTTGGGGAGCGGGTCAACGGGCGCGGCGCGCGATGCACAACATGGACCGAGGGTTCTTCTCTCAGTTACAACTTAGCCATTTAAATGGCTCGGGTTCATCGCACGGTTTCAAAAAAGAAAAGAAAATAAACTGTATAAATAATATATATATATATATATATATATATATATATATATATTACA